GCTATAGGCGCCGAGCCTCTCTCGTCATTTCTAACTTTATATTTCTTCAGTTGGTTGCTGCCAGATTCATAGGTCTTAAAGGATCCTGCCTCCAGGGCAGTATCCTGGCACTAGTGATGCTCTTTAGTGAAGTAAGAGGAAGCCACTGAACAGGACTGTGTGTGAGGCCCAGTGATGGTGCTGATACCACTCAGAATTAGGGCTATTTCTTCACATGCTAGCACCCACTTCTTCCAGAGCATTGGTGTACATCCTGAGGTCTCCAGGCCACCTGCTGACTTTGTGTGAGGACTTTTTCTGCTTTATTTGTGGTGTGATTTATCAGGAAAAGTATATGCAGAACTGTCATTTTGCTAACCAGCTTTCATTAGGTTTGTTTACTTAATATGTGTCCAAAACAACTCTTCTTCCAAAGTGCAGCAGAGAAAAAAAAAAAGGTTGGACCTCCCTGTCCTAGGGTAATAAACACGAATTTAGGTAACCAACGACACACACATTATATTAAAGACAAAGCACATAAATCTGCATTGGCAATTTTTAATGTTTTACTTGTGCAGAACTGAAATTTGTATTTAAAGGCACAGAAGGAAAGGCAGTTATCAGAGCAAAAAGTCACAGAGAAGAGGACTGCTCCTCTTTCGCCTTAGGAAAATAAATAATGCAGTACTAAACTAGATTTTTATATTTATTATATTTCCAAGTGGAGACATCACACAAATGTCAGCTGAGCAAAAATTTTTATGGCCAAAGTGCACAGCTGACCCCACTTTGGAATAAATGCTCAGAAGGTAAACATCATCAGTGAGTGGGAGCTGTAGGCACAAAACAAGTTCTCATTCAGAAAGTGGACAGAGATAGGGACTAGTCAAACATATATCTCCTAAAACTGGAAATCTTTCATGACATTTGCTTTGAAAGTAAATATTATCTGCCTATCAAGAACTATAATTTTCCTAAGTAGATAATCAGACCTGATTAAATAGTATAGAGGAATTACTGATTAAAATTACAAAAATAAAAACTGAAACTCTTCTGTCCTTGAAAGAGATAGAAAACTATATATTTTTTTCCTGAATTATCACAGGAGAATCATCAGTATTTTACCCTTATGTTTCTTAAAATGTCATTTCTTCTTTCATGTTCTGCTACTTTTAACAAAGCAAAACCCATTTTGACGTGGCAATCTCTGCTAAGTGAAAGGATGCATTATTTATTGAATGAATGAGAAAAAGCTACAATTTACTCCTGATGAGAACATACCTACCAGGTGGACAGAAAGATGAAGACTGAGATTTTTCTTAAAAACAAAAACAAAACTCAATGATTTAAAACATCCTATACATAATTTCTGGTTTCTTTCTTTCTTTTTTTTTTTTTTGTTTGAGACAGTCTCAAGCTTATCGCCCAGGGTAGAGTGCCTTGGCATCACATTTCACAGCAACCTCCAACTCAGGCTCAAGCAATCCTTTGGTCTCAGTTTTTCTATTTTTAGTAGAGACAGGGTATTGCTCCTGCTCAGGCTGGTCTTGAACCTGTCAACTCAGGCAATCCACCTGCCTCAGCCTCCCAGTGTGCTAGGATTACAGGTGTGAGCCACCTTGCCCAGCCCATAATTTCTAATTTCAAAGCACTATTAGAAACTCTTGATCAATGTGTAGCAAGAGAGAAATTCAAATTTTGGTAGAACAGTAGAGCATATTTCTAACTACTTTAATTTAAATAACATTAGTCTTACCAACTATTATCCTTTTATTAAAACACTGATTGGCTGAGTTAAATCATAACAGTATGAAAATTAAAAACAAATTTCAACTTGGGTATGAGCACAATGATTTGGGACCGACCACCATTTCTGCCTCACAGAAAGGACAAAGAGGGGGTATTCTTCCTTGTAAATATATGCCCGGAAACACCTTATGTGCAGATTGCTTAAGTGTATAAATAAAACGAATTCTGTATTTTCTCAAATAATTTTACAAGTTGATGGTAAATTAATCTCAAAGATAAAACTATGCCTTTAAAAACCATTAAGCCTCAAATTTTCATCCAGTGTTTAAGAAATGGATTATTAAAATCATTTTTGAAATGAGATACTGAATGTAATTAAATCTGGGCTTTTATGTACTTAGTAATTTTTCTTTAAAAAAAGCAAAAGTTTAAAAACATCAAGAGCTAGAACATGCTGCCAGGACAGAAATAATCAGAAATGTCTTCAGTCACAGACCCTGGGCATCTCAGTCTTGTTTTGAACTTTTCAAAGCTTGAAGTCTCTCTAGTAGCGGAGGATGAGAATAATGCCACATTGAAAACAACCAGTCAGAAACAGGGAATCCCAAGTTATCTTTGTTAAGTTTGATTAAAGCAGAATATAAGTCTTTAGCCTTCCCAAGTTTCTTGGCAAATGCATCAGCTTGAAATTCAAATCTGCGGCTTAGGACTGTTAAGCAAAAAGAAAGAACCTGAAAAGGTAAATGAAAGGGTTTTAATCACCATCCACCTCTTTGTTGTCACTGAAGGTTTCATGAGCTGAGATGGTAGAGGAAGTTTGGCTTAGGAGAAGAGAAACAGCAGGCCAAAAAGAAAGATCACTGGTATTTAGGGGACCTAGGGTGAGGGAATCATAAATTAGGCCTTCTCCCAAGCAAATGGGCCAGAAACAGACATACAAGTTGAGCATCCCTAATCCAAAAACCTGAAATCTGATATACTCCAAAATCTGAAACTTTGGGAGTACTGACATGATACTCAAAGGAAATGCTCACGGGAGCATTTTAGATTTTAGATGTCTGGAGGGGTGTTCAACCTATAAATATAATGCAGCTATTCCAAAATCTAAAAAAATATGAAATCCAAACATTTCGGGTCTCAAGCATTTCACATAAAAAATACACAACTGTATATCCAAATGAATACTACTTTACTAAAAATTACCTATTTTTGAGAATTAAGCTAAGCACTTCACAGTCTCCACCAATCTCTTACTCCTGCTTTACAGACAAGAAAGGTAAATCTCAGAGAGGTTAGATAACTTGCTAGAGATCACACAGCTGGAAAGTAGTAGGTAGTACTGAAATTTCTGATGACTACAAAACCAAGGCGTATCACCACCATTCTCACAGTTAAGTCATGGTAATTTATACTGACTCTTTTTAATTTTATTTCATTTTATTTTTTTGAGACAGAGTCTCTCATTCTGTTGCCCTTGGTAGAGTGCCATGGCATCATAACTCAAACACCTGGGTTCAGGAGATTCTTCTGTTTCAGCCTCCCAAGCATCTGGAATTATAGGTGCCCGCCATGACACCTGGCCAATTTTTCTATTTTTTGTAGAGACAGGGGTCTCGCTCTTGCTCAAGTTAGTCTCAAACTCTGACCACAAGGGAATCCACCAGCCTTGGCCTCCCAGAGTGCAAAAATTACAGGAGTGAGCCACCACTCTTGGCCCTCTTTTTTGTTTTTATTTTATTATTATTATTATTATTGAGACAGAGTCTCACTGTGTTGCCTTGGTAGAATGCCAATGCGTCATAGCTCACAGAAACCTCAAACTTTTGGGCTCAAGCAATTCTCTTGCATCAGCCTTCCAAGTAGCTGGGACTACAGGCACCGCCACAATGCCCGATTATTTTTAAAGACGGGGGTGGGGGTGGGGGGGGTCGGTCCTCACTCTTGTTCAGGCTGGTCTTGAACCACTGAGCTCAGGCAATCCACCTGCCTCAGCCTCCCAGAGTGCTAGGATTACAGGGGTGAGCCACTATGCTCAGCCTTCTATTCTCTTTTAAAAATATTGTTCTACTGAGTGGCGCCTGTGGCTCAGTGGGTAGGGTGCCGGCCCCATATACCAAGGGTGGTGGGTTCAAACCCAGCCCCGGCCACACTGCAACACGTTGTGGCAGGCATCTGTCTGTAGTCCCAGCTTCTGGGGAGCCCGAGGCAGAAGAATTGCCTAAGCCCATGAGCTGGAGGTTGCTGTGAGCTATGATGCCATGGCAATCTACTGAGGGCGATAAAATGAGACTCTGTCTCTACCAAAAAAAAAAAAAAATATATATATATATATTGTTCTACTATCTACTATTTTCATATTAGAATTGAGTACAGTAGATTCTTGCTTCTCTATTCTTTTTTTTTTTTTTGAGACTGAGTCTTACTATGTTGCCCTTGGTGGAGTGCCATGGCATCACAGTTCATAGCAACGTCAAACTCCCGTGCTTAAGCGATTCTCTTGCCTCAGCCTCCCAAGTAGCTGGGACTACAGGTGCCCACCACAACGCCCAACTATTTTTGTTGCATTTGGCAATTGTTATTTAGCTGGCCCAGGCAGGGTTTGAGCCTGTCAGCCTCAGTGTATGTGGCTGGCACCATAACCACTGTGTTATGGGTGCCAACCTGCTTCTCAATTCTTGTGATGCTTTACTAAGAAGAATGTGTTCCACCTCAGTCCAGGTTAATACAAAAGATGTAAAGTCTCTATCTTTTTTAATGGCTATATAGTATTCCATAGTATACATATCCCAACAGCTTACTCATCTATTCCTGGGTTGGTGGTAGATAATCTAATATATACCCAGGTAAGAGAAAAACTCAAGTCAATTCAAGGTGGGTGATGGAAGAAATAAGCAGGACAAGAGGAAGAAGGGGGATGGGCACTTACGATGTAAGGCATATCTCTAGGGGGGGACGCAACTTTAAGACAGACCTTACCAAACAAATGCAATCAGAGTAACCTAATTCTTCGTGCTTTCAATGAATCTCAAACAACAACAACAACAAAAAAGGGCTCAGTGCTGTGGCTCAAGCAGCTAAGGCGCCAGCCACATACACCTAAGCTGGCAGGTTCTAATTCAGCCTGGGCCCACCAAACAATGACGGCTACAACCAAAGAATAGCCAGGTGTTGTGGCAGGTGCTTGTAGTCCCAGCTACTTGGGAGGCTGAGGCAGGAGAAACGCTTAAGCCCAACAGTTGGAGGTTGCTGTGAGCTATGATGCCATAGCACTCTACCCAGGGCAACAACTTGAGGCTCTGTCTCAAAAAAAAAAAAA